ATGGAGATGAGCACCGCATCCCTAGTGTCGGAATCGACTGGCTTTTGAGCAAGGGAAACCTTTACCCTTACCTGTATTTTAACCCTTTGTTGTTGTTCAGACGCACAGTCGAGTCCGACTCTTCGCAACCCCACGGATCACACCACGCCAGGCCCTCCTCTCTTCCGTTGTGCTCCGGAGTTTGCTTAATTTCATGAACATGATATTTTAACCCTGACTGGTCCCAAACTTCCCCCCTACACCCTTACAATATGCCTGTCTAAACTGGAAAGGTGGGGGGATTATGGGATTTTGCAAAGCCAGTTTTATAAAAAAGAACCACAAGGATTGCAGCTGAAGGACACCCCCCCTGCTCCTACCTGTGACGAGGACTATGGAGGCTTGGAGCAGTGGCTGGGAAGTTTGGCAGCCCCTCCCTCTGCTTCCTGCTCTGAGGCAGCCCCGTCCTAAGCTCTCTCCTCAGAGGCAGCCCCACTCTCTGCTTGCTGCTCTCAGAGGCAGCCCCGCCCTCTGCTCTTTATACTCCCACACTGTGCAAGCTGAGAACAGCAAGGTTGGGCAGGGGAGGGGGGACACAACAGAGCCCCACTCCTGGGCCAGATTAAAGGCCTGACTGGGCCAGTTCCCGCCTGTGGGCCATAGGTCTACGTCTGCTGGTTCATTGCTGCAGTTTTTGATGTTCTTAGTATTGTAAGCCACTTTCAATGAATGGATAGAGGTATCTTTAATAATAGTAATGATAAAATGCTTAGTCCCTATCTACAGATCATGTTATAATGATTAAATTCTCTGCTAAATATAAGACTTTTAAAGTTCACATCATTGTTCTTGAAAGTCAAAATATTTTATTCATTTATTTATTTGTTTGATTTATGTACCACCCTCCCCATAACTGGCTCCGGGTGGTGTACATCAATTAACATAATACAGTTAAAACAATGTTAAAATGACAGATTGCACAGAATAATATCATAAAATACCATGTAAAAATGGAGAGATCAGATGTCAATCAAATCCAGGTGCCTAATCAGTTGTCTAATTAGATGCAGGCCACTGATGGATGATTGGCCAAAATCGGAGGGGGGGACGTTTGCTGCCCGAACCAAATGCTCGATGGAAGAGCTCTTTCTTGCAGGCCCTGTGGAACTGGAATAAGACCCACAGGACCCTGATCTCGTAAGGGAGCTCATTCCACCAGGTGAGGGCCAGGGCTGAAAAAGCCCTGGCCCTGGTCCAGGCTAATCAGACATCCCTGGAGCCAGGGACCACCAAGAGATGTTGATTTGTGGACCGTCGTGCCCCCTGAGTCTCATACGGGAAGAGGCAGTCTCGAAGGTATGCTGACCCTGGCCGTATATGGCTTTAAAGGTAAACACCAGCACCTTGAAATGGATTCAGAATTCAATAGGCAGCCAGTGCAGTTCACGCAGCACTGGGTGGATACGAGCCCACACAGGTGTCACCGTCAACACCCATGCTGCCGCATTCTGCACTAGCTGCAACTTCTGGAGCAGAGTCAAGGGTAGCCCCATGTAGAGAGAGTTACAATAGTCCAGTCTGGAAGTGACCATAGGTCTCGGGGAGTGAGATATGGGTCCACCTGCCTGATCTGTCTCAGATAGAAAAGGGCAGACCTGGCAGTGGTGTTGGCCTGGGTCTCCATGGAGAGGGAGGCATCCAGGAACACCCCCAGGCTCTTCACCCCTGACATAGGCACCAATGGAGCCCTATCGAAGACAACTTATTTCAGCTACTAAGTTGGGATCCACAAGTGGTTAGTGCTGCTGCCTGAGGTGGAGCTCACCAGAAACAGCACCACCATATTTTCACTTCCTCCCTGGTTTAGGATTTGCTTAAGACAGAGATGGCAACAAGAGAGTGTAGGAGAAGGAGCAAACAGTGACAGAAATATGAATGTATATATTAAAAAGACGATCACGCATAGCTTGTTGAGATTAAATGAAAAGGTTGCAGGTTCATGATTTAATAATCATGTATTGATTATATTTATTCTGCCTTTAACAATTGCTAGTCATAAATTAATTTTAATGGGAGGGGACTCTTTAGCTTGGATTT